CTTCTTGCTGCGAGGCAACAGTGCTACCAACTGCGCCACCTTGCAGCCCTCTATAACAATATTAGCTTGCTATTTTTTTGACTAATGCTTAACTTATAATTACTGCAGCTACAGGGGGTACGGCCACAATGAGCAAACAATGGATCTTAATACACTTTTTGCACAAATAACCAATGGGGTCATAAACTGATGCAGTGCCCCTTTAATTGGATCTAATCAGTTGTGTTTCTTTGCTGATGATGTCAGGTAGGGCAATGATAACAAAGGTCGTTAGGAGGACATTTTATTTTAGCAACTACAATAAATGTACAGCAAAATCAAAGGTTAAACAAACATTTAAGATCAATAGATTTCCTAGCTCCTTCCCACGCTCTCTTCGTCTCCTTTCCATTTATATAAATGTCTGAGCTGTTGGTGTTAGAAAACGTAGTCTATAAAAACCTGCCTATGTTGCTAAGGTATCACAAATTACATGGTGTAGTGATGTCAGATGGAACCAGACCAAGACAGATAGTATTGTGTTAGGAGCAGGCTTTCAGATTATTCAAAAATGTAATTAATTTATCTCTTTTATTTCACGCTCCTCCCAGGAGGATTATACTCACTCGTGTGCTTCCTTTGTACATGTGTATGGGTAATGTGTAGTCAGTCTTTTCAGTCTGATGTTCATTATTTTTGGAAAAGAAAAGTGTGAAAGAGACAAGTGTCAAGAGGGACACGCACAAACACACACCCACACAAACCTGAGTGAGTCACGGAGAGACGTATGAGGAGATGTTGAGCACATGCCTTCTGTCTGATCCCCCAGCCAGGGATCATGTGAGCAAAGCGATTTACCATGCTGTCTCACTTCCCCCCTCTGCCACACACACAGCCACTCATGCGCATGCTGCTTTAGCAAAGTTTGTCTTTTCAGTTGTTCCTCCAAGTATGAAATCTGGACACCACATCAGCTTCTTTTTAGTGTTTTTGATTAGCGTCTAATAGATGCTAAATGTCTTTGTGAAGTGAGATTTGCACGGAAACTGGCACAGGTGTTTCAGTTGTGAACATAAAGCATTCATTTGGCAGTTCATAGGGGCTGGGGTGATAATTCCTCTTACCTAAGCTTCACTTAACTGATCTGACCATTTCTGGGCTGGAAACTAATATCCATAGAAATTCACTCTGGCTCCTTGCAGCTTACTTGGCAGTTTGTTCAGGCTGTAAGATAAGTGTCTTGCAATCAGGACAAATAACAAATACAATTAAAGCTGCAAGCAGCGTTTGTCGGGTCCTCGGTCCGCGCTGCGACCGCATGCCCGTCTGAC